TTTCCATGGAAGTCTATGACACTCCCTCTCTGATGCTGACAAAGCACTTATATAGGTGGCTGTAGGGTTGCATGTTAACTGTTTTAAAGGGAGCAGAACTTTCTCTGACAGTGATCAACTCTTAAAAAAAAGAAAGATATTGACCTGCTGAGGAGGCCTGGGAGAGCCTTCCAGCTCTGCCACGCACCAGACTTCCACGGAAAGTCAGTGGGCGACCTCACTCTTCCCCCTCTATCAAAGTAACTCGACCAGAGCTTGGAAAGCTTTGTGAGAAAACAAGAATCTGATTAAAAGGATTTTCCTAATATTAGGTATACTGGAGAAAGGATTAATCTGAAATTAAAATGGCTTTTATGCTCTCAACCCAAACTGTGACCCAAGCTGGCAGAATAAAGGAAGTGACTCTGCTGGTGTTTGTCAACAGATAAACAAAGTGGTTGCTAAGCAGATGTTACAGGCTTGGGATTTATGGCTATAGCTTCATGAAGTCCTCCCCAGAGTATGCCTGTCTCAAAGCTATGTTAACAATGACTCATTTTCCATTAGAAGATCTGTTACAGGTGAAGTGCTAAAAATTCTATGAAATAAATATGGTTGATAATATTTACTTAATGAAGGTCAGCAAGATGCTGTAATTATATTTTCATTCATGGAAGCCTGTTTCACTTGCTTGTCCCTTTACCTGACTCTCGGTAGAATTTCCTACATCAGTTGTCTCACTTTGATTCAGTTTTTGCAGAAACTTCTCATAAAACTCAATCCAGTGACTTTCAAGAAATACTACAAAGAAATTATGAACTGTTTGTCACAGTTAAAATGTTACCGTGGTTTTCATGTAAATTGTTGCTCTCATTGCTTTGAAGCAAAGACTTTAAACCTGGTAGGGAGTCTCACTGGTGGGTAAAATGGAATAACAACATACTTCTCCATTGTGTGATGAAAATAATCTTCACTTCTGTTTGTGGAGATAATTTTGTTATTGTGTGTGAAGTATTCAAATAATACCATGAGAACCCTCTCAACACCAGAAAAAGTTCATTCTGTATTAATTAGGACTAAAATTGGAATGGAGTGTAATATGTTACCCTGTGAGCAAAAAGGAAAATGTATGATAATGACTATCTGCTCATTAAAGGTGTGCTGTGAATCCCGTGTCCTGAGCGAGGCAATGGTTCTAGGGAACAAATAATACTTAATCATGTACTTAAAAAATGATCATTAGACATACATGGAGGAGCACTGCATGAATGTTGCATGGTTTGTTGTTTTTTAACCATATTCTGCGGCTTCTAACATGTGCAGCGCGCACCTGTCTTTTTTGCCACTGCTGCTGATTCTTCTACTGCCTCTCAAAGCTGCTGCTGTCCCTGCCCCTGCCTGTGTCCCTTGCGCTCCTGCCTCTTTGCTCTGTCACTGCTACTGACACTGACACTAACAGGAGCATCAGTGATGGTGGGTGTTTGCTTACAACTACTAGTTGCTTCTGTGTATAAGATGCACTTCAGTTTCAGACTTCCTTTGTAGGGGAGGTCATCTTACGGACTGGAAGCAGCACTCTGGGACATGCTAATTCCAGATACTTGTACTTCAGAGTTTCAGGGTAATGTTTGTATGAGATGTAGCACTAACGCTGTTTTGAAGCCTAAGGATTCATAAAATCCCATAAAATAAACCCAAATCCACACGCATTAAATATTATGCCCATTTTTACCTCCATTGAATGTTACTAACAAATTTTTCTCAGCTGCAATGCTGCTGTAGCTTTACTAACCCATAACCATGAAGAATGTAGTTTCTTCAGTGTTTGCAGCTTCATGCAGGAGAAAGAAGGGAAGAAAAGGCAAGTTTTGTTCCTAAATGGGTCCCTGAAAAATGCACAAAATCCATGTATGTAAAGAAAGTACTAAGAAATATTGGAAAAATCCTCAAACATAGCAACTTGACGGATCTTCAGCCACTGTAAATAAATGAGTATTGACTTCCTTAGAGCTGTGCAGGTTGTGCTGGCTGCGTGAGGGCCTGGCTTATGTTCTCTGAGGCAGTCTCAGAAGCAGCAAGCCAGATTGTGAAAGAGCCCCCCAGAGCTCTTTAGGGTGCCACTGGCACAGTGGGGCAGGCTCCTCTCCTACTGTCGAACCAGTGACGTTGGCCAGGGCACAAGTTGAGCAGAGGCATTGTTCTGCTTTTTCGTTTCAGAAAGGATGGACCAGAACTGTGGTTATGTCCAGTCCTCCTTAAGGAGTGAAGCTCCTGGGCTGCAGGAAGGACTCTTGTTGGGCAGACACAGAATATGCTAGATAGAAGCTATTAGGTGCTGTTTATGTTTTAAGTAGTGCCTACTATGGGATCCTGAGATCCCCATGTGCCACGTGTGTGCAAATAATGATTAACAGTGAGAAGAAGGGATCCCATTTTTGGAAATGAACCCAAGTTCCTTACTGCTGTGGGGTGGTGGGAAACAGAGAACAAGAGTACGTAACAGCTGAAGCTTGTCAGCTCAGACATCTAAGTATCTTAAAAACGTCTCTCCTAAATTTCAGTGGCACAAGTACTTTAAGAGCCTTCCTTGTAGAACCTTCTTGCTGCTCTAAGCCACAGACCTACAGAGTTTACACGACTTCTGACACTGCTCAGATCCCAGGGATAACGTCCTGTATTGAAGCTTTGTTCACTTCCTAGGGTGTCAGGCTCTAAAAGGTAGACACCACAGGGTACTCTAGGGTCCCTGCTACCAGAGCAGTACCCAGAAATAGCCCTATTTCTGAAGCCTCAAGGTGAGGGCTAGAACGCTGCTGTAGTTGTAACTTTTGTCAATAGAAACAATCTCTGCATTTATTCTCTTTCATAGGACAATATACCACAAGATGCACAACATGTCTGAATGAGAGTGAGCAAGCCACAGGTGACAGATATAAATCATTGCTGCTTAATGATTTAGTCATGTATTGTAAGAATATACTTTGTTTACAGTCAGAATGAGGCTTGCATAAGACCTACATAGAAGAGAATTTAGCATTTAAGCAGTGCCCACGGCAACACTTGTAAAAGTGAGCAACTTCTAAAAATAATGTCATTCAAATAAAATATGGCCTAGAGCTGGTCGAAGCTATTACAATAAAAAAACAGTTTTTCTGAACGTGAACGTTTTCTAATGTTTTTGCAAAGCCAAAAGGCCACCTTATAAGTAGCTCCAGGCGTTGTACAGCTCTTCCTACCCTTTCCTTGTTCCTGTTGTGAAACATCTCCGCTATTTTAACTCTGTTTCTGGAGAGGAGCTGTGAGCTGCAGTCAGATGTGTCAGATGGCGTAACAGAGTTGTTTTGCAAATACAACCTGACTCAGAGGGCTGCAGGCATCTTTAGGCAGCATAGCCAGGCTACATGGGGAAAGTGCTAAACAGCTTATTTAGCAGGAAAAACACAGAAGGGCAGTTTTTAGAAGTCTGTCAGTGGTAAACCTCACCACTGTCTCTGCTGCTCCAAAGATAGGCTATCCACAAACTTTCAAAAAATTAAAAGATAGTAGTTACAGGAACAGCAACTGACCTGTTGTACCTGTGGTACAAAAATCACATTTCTCAGGCCATTCCTAACATGCATAGTCTTTGTTTTCTGCATTTTTCCTGCAGTTTTCTTCTGTGCTTCCTTTTAAGAATGGAGAGTGTTGCCTGTAAAAGTCTGTTAGGATTATGCATCCTTCTGCACATCTCTCTTAAAACCTCACCTCTACTTGGACATCTACAAATCACTCAGCAGTAGCCAGTCACATTGCTAAATCGCCCTATTTGCATTTGCAGTCTATGTTGCTAGTCAAAAAAAAAAAAAATTGTATTGCCCCATCAGGCCTGTGTTCCTCTACAGTTTCTGTCTTGTGTCCTGTAAATGCGGTGTTTGGAGCACAGGCTGATCAAAGGCTTGCTGAAGCTAATAGAAAGCTTTCTATCCACCTAACCTAGTGCAGAAATGGTCCTTATAATGCGTGACCCTTGCTTGGCCCTTTAGCAGCATATGCAGTCCAGAAAACATCTTTACACAGTTCTGAATAAAGATGCAGTTTTCATCTGGAGGACTGCAACTCCTTTTTTAATATCAGTCATGTTACAGCATTTATTAATTGAGGGAGGGCCCCTTCCCTTCTTGTTCCTTTGGATTTACTACTAGAACGTGGTAGGGGAGAAGAGTGGTTTCCTCATCCTTCTGTGAGTGAAGCCTACAAAGGATGATCAAGCTGGGCTTCTTATCCCCTTCAGTTTAATTGCAGCTCTTGTTATAAATGGGAATAGGTAAAGGAGGATAAAAGCCTAATATAATCATAACCAAGGCAAATGCAAACTGGTATCTTGCACTATATTTTTCTCTGGAAGCAACTGTTGCATCACCCAGAGGAGCCTTCTTCTGTGCCAGTGCCCCATTTTGTGCATCTTTTCCCCGCAAGAAACTTATTGCAGAAAAACATAATTTACCCTTCTATATAGATAGCCCAGCAGAAAGTTCACGCATCAGCTGCAGTAAAGGAAGGTGTGCAGGTATTGAAGAGGCAATGCAAGAATGAATTTGATACTTTAGCAAGTGCAGATGACACTGTGACTGTTGAGGTTTTTTTTTTTTTCCATTTGGAGTACTAACATGGCAGATGATCAAGCTCCCCTTAGGCTTCCAGGTATAACTGTAGGTTATAAGTTCCTTGAATAGAAAAGTTACCCTCTAGCTTCTTAACTTAATTTTCACCTTGAATGAAACTTCTTCAGAACAGTTACATGATGAGAAAGAATAATTTGCAGAGTGTTGCTGTATATTGTCTATATGTTCTAATATATTAAATGAGAAAAAATTCACTCAAAAAGCTCAATATTCTGTCAAAGGGCATATTTTCATGGCCTTGAATGCCTTTGATTCCTATTCCTCCTGGCACGTAAGAATACTCTCACCTCTGTGTTTATGTGGGTTTTTTTTCCATGCAGAAATTATTTCCTTGGAAGAAGCCAATTTTGTTATTTCAGGATGTTATTGGTAGATAAAAGACTTCAAAACCTGCAGATCTACAAACTTCTCCAGTGTGTTCACCAGAAAGACAAGAAGCAAATAGAAAAGCTGATCAAGCTTGGCATTCCAGGTCTCATTAGTTTCACAGAGCCTGTGGATGGATACAGTGCCCTTCACTTGGCCTGCATTAAAAATGACATGGACATGTGCAGCTTCCTGCTAGAACACGGAGCTCATCCAGATGTCCAAGACAAAATGGGATGTACTCCAGCGATGAAGGCAGCTGAGCTAGGACATGACTTGGTTTTGGACTTACTAGTAAAAGCTCAAGCAGACATGACTGTTGTTGATAATGAAGGAAGAAGTAAGTAAAAAAGAACCTTACAAACCAGAAATATCATTAAATGATTCCTTATTTCTTACTGTGGCACATACGTACTATGTATGTTATGGCCAGTTCTAGTAACTCGAGTTAGTTTTTATAAAGGATAAGGGGCTGTTATTACAGTAATATTTCTTTGGTTCCGGCGGCTGAGACTTGTGCCTTGATACTGAAGACCTTAGGGCTCAGTCTCTCGTGAGGAACCATGGTTGGGGGTAATCCTTACAGCTCAGTGCAAGCTATTTGCCATAACAGCTTTGGTGGGAATGACATTTATTCCCCCTGAACAGTCTGAGCCTTTTAATCATAGCTCCCTCCAGTGCGTACCTGAATAGGTACCTTGTGATTAAGAATCATGTTCCTTCCATGAACTGTCGCTAATATCGAATACTGGTTTTCTCCCTGAGTTAAGAGGCCTTAACCAGAAATTACATTGCATGTGTTACCCTAAGAGAAGTTAATGGGCCTCTGTTGAAGGGGTTTGTCCATTCAGACGTGAAGCTTACTGCCTAAATAACCTTCCTTACCATTTAATGTTGCTCTGTAATCCCTTCTGTTTTTCTTTGCAGGTATTCTGTTTTACAGCATTTCACCTACAAGGCGGCACTGCCGCTGCACGCGGATTGCCTTAGAATATGGTGCAGATGTTAACAACAGCACTACTGAGGGGAAGCCTGTATTTCTACAAGCCTGTGAGCAAGCCCAGGGGATTAAAGAAATATGCCTGAATTTTTTGGAAAGAGGAGCAGATCCCAATGCAGTAAACCCAGTATGAATGTTTCTATGTATATTTTGTTTCTAAGAATGTATATACAGAATAGTTACCAGACCACTAGAATATATGACGGTAAATCCTCACATTTAAATAATAACAACAGTAGCAAGTGCTTAATTCTTTGGCTATGTCTATTTCCTTCCTCTTTATCATCCTTACCTTTGGGGAGGAGGGAGAAGGAAGGTATTAAGCGTTCTGCTTGAATTATGTATCCTAATTTAGACTTTTGTAGGTCAAAGTGCAAATATTTTATAAAAACAGCTGGGCCAGCTTCTTAAGAGCTGTAGTTCACTATATTTCAGTGGAGTGGTGCTGATTTGTGTTAATTTGGGCTACCCATGGCTTTGGCCCTAGATTTGGAGTATCCTGCCTGTCTTATAGCTATACCAAAGCATTTCACCTGCCCAAGATGTGGACATCCTTGTCACATCCTTTGATGTACGTACCCCCTTCATGCACTTTGTGTACTTGAAATATGATGAGTATATCCTCCATTTTTTGTAGTAAGACGGGCACATGCCTGGTCACATAATGGGAATGGTTTGCTAGGCCCGGAGAAAAACCACTAGGGAACAAAATATGGTCCAGCAGAACAACATCCAGGGCCCACTGTCTGCTTCCTGCCCATGTGTGTGCTCCCTTTGCCCCTTTGTACAGTAGTGAATAAGGTATTCTGAGCATTGCTGGGGACCAGCAGGTTGTAACTAGGCTATCCCCCATCTGAGATGCGCTCTGTTCACGGGAAAGTCACCAAATGTACCAAAGTCACCTATTATAAAGAAGATATATACTGCCGTCTAGAATATACACTGCTATCTAGAAAAACAAGTATGAACGTATTAGAACGCAAACTTTTCCTTACAGATAGGACAGTAGTGAAATTCCCCAGTAGCACTTCTCCAGCCATAGTTACTTATATACTTTCATGACAGAGGTGATATTTTGCGTTAAAACTTGTAAAAATGCATGAAAGCATACACACAAAATAAGGAGTTCCTTCAAACAAGAAACTGATGTTCATGGGACTATTCAAGTGACTCAGGTTACTTATATCTTTTAGTCGCTAGGGTCTGACCACTCACGTTTCAGCAGCAACAGGACTAGGTTCTTAAAATTGGCCTGCAAATTTGAAACTGTTAAGACTCATCTCCTTTTTTTCAATAACGCCTAAAAGGAGGCCTCCGGTTTTAAGCCACTTGCAACAATTGGATCACGTTGTTCCAGAGCTCCCTTCCGACCTGAATTAGCGTATGATTTAAATGTTAAATTATTTTCTTGCTACCTTGCAGGCTACAGGTCGCACAGCCTTAATGGAAGCAGCAAGAGAAGGTGTTCTGGAGGTGGTGCGTGGTATACTTGAGAGAGGAGGAGATGTTAATGTATTTGACCTTGAAAGACACAGTGCTGCACACTTTGCAGCCAAAGGAGGCTTTTTTGAGGTATCGTCATTAGTAGGGTTAAAGCATTGCTGGAAAGCCAAACCAAGCTTTCTCTAAGCCCTATATCTCAGCTGACTGAAATATAATAATCAGTAGTCAAAGAGCAGCCTTCTTTTGAAGTGTCAAAGGGAATTCAGAAATGACAGCATTTCTCAAAAAATTGCTGAGACTTTCTTGCTAAGGTACCTATGAGCTTGTGTTTGCTTGTCTGGCTGTCTAATGTGGGCAGTTGCTTTGGAGAACTAGTTTCTCTCAAAGCGTGGCATGTAACAACTGTGTAGCATGGATGCGAGTTTCCTGTTATAAGAAGAACACACGCAAATGCCTGCAGGTAGGCAGCTCCTTCCTGCCACCTACCCCAAATACTGCCTTTGAAGTATATAAAATTATGCAGTTTTGATTAGGTGTATAATGTCAGGGTTACTTTAAAAACAGTGCCCTGCAGTAAGACTGGTAAGTGCCTAGTAAGTGCCTGCCGGTAAGACTAAAGATTGTCCTTGACCTCTACAACTAAAGAAGGCTTCTGTTCCTGAGCTAAGTAAACACAGCATTACAGCAAACAAATGTTATATATGGATTGATAAGCTGAGCGTGCAAGAGACGTTCACTGGGTAAACAGGGAATATGTGCTATTTCATTTATTTGTAAACACTCTCACCCTTCCCCCATTCTAAGAAATAGCAGCCAGATTTTTGATGGAACTGTCTTCTTTTTCCCAGATTCTGAGGGTACTTTCAGCTTATAATGGAGACGTGGGTCTGATTGCTATGAATGGGAACACACCACTTCATTATGCTGCGGAGGGAGGGTTTGCAGATTGCTGCAAGTTTATAGGACAAAGAGGTACTTTAAAAATGAATTACTTTACAACTATCATCTATACTCTATTCTTACTAAAGAAAAGATTTCATTTTGGCATCTATGAAGGGTTTGACTCTCTGGGGTATCATGTAATGAATTTAATTCTCGTTAAGAGGTGTCTAACATAAGCTATCGTGACATTTTTTCCACTGATGCAAAGACAAGGTAAGCAGTTTCTCAAAGCAGTAGAAACATCATGGCTTTGTATAGTTTAGAATTGGACCGGATTAAGTGATTGTATTTACAGTTGTTTTAGAAATATTGCACTGAAACTTCCAATAGAAAATTAATTTTTGGTTTGCTGATCATTTAAACAATTTGATCTCAATATCATCAGGAGGAAATCTTAGCTTCCATGAGTGATAAAATGTACTCCGAAGACATTCTGATCATTTTCTAACTTCAACAAATCTGTCATGTCACTTCAAGCTTTATTTCTACAGGACCACGCAAAACCCTATGTTCTGTTCTTGTGGTTCAAACATTTAACTAGTGGTCCAGCACCAAACTGTAAGGTTAGGGTATAGAACAGTGGGTGACATTTTAATCTTAGTTCAGTTCTTCTTAGCCTTGTTAACCACTTTAAGAAAACCTTAAAATCTTCACTGAACTTCTGCCTTGCCATATTCGTGTCTGTCCATGAATGGACAGACAAGCAGAGCATGGGTTACCTGATGACCCTCTCTTTACAAAACAAATATGGACATATAGCTAACATTCCAGTCCATTTTGCTGATGTGGTTCTATTACCAGCTCTCTTTATTGGTAAGAGAGTATAAAGTTGTAAATCTGTGCTAATTAGCTGCAGGTACTGTACAAGGCTCTTACATTAAATGAATTGTGTCTATATTTTTAGGCTGTGACCCTACATGGAAGAACTTATTAACAAAGACCCCAAGACTAATTGCCAAGGAAGGTGGTTTTAAAGCAGCAACAAAAGAACTGCGTAAAATTGAAAAAATCTTTGCTAAACGTTCTAAGCCTGAAGCGAAGGATGACAATCCCTGCTGGGCATTGAAGTTATATGACTGGTCCTTGGAACATCAGGCTGCCCTCCGTGAGGCGTTTGAGGTAGTCAACCAGGGAGATGGAACAGTAGCTAAAGATGATTTTATATCAGTTATTCAGGAACGGTGTGCCTTTGTAGATGCTGAACAAATAGAAACCATTGCCGAAAAGCATGAAATATCTCTCGCTGCAGGAATCAACATTGAAGAATTTTTTAAAGGCTCAAAATACTTGCAAAAAGCCTATCTCATAACATCTTTTGGACCCAAAAAGAAGAAAGGGAAGAAAGTAAAGGGCAAGAAAGGTGTCACAGTCCCAGTGCCGATATGCATCATTCCAGAGAGCACGTGTCCACGTAGAGAAGATGGCTACCCTGTGTACATGATTGAGGCTTTTCAGAGCATTGCAGATAGCAACCGTTTTAACCGATATCACCCATCTGCCCATCCTGTGCATGATGACCGTGCATGGTATATAGATGAACCAAGGAAAATGTACATGAATATTAACGACCTTGTCAGAGCAGGAGACATTCTGTCTCTCAAGAAAGCATTTGAGGAGGGCGTGCCCGTAGATGTAAGAGATAAATATTACAAAACACCTTTAACGGCAGCATGTGCGAGTGGGAACATAGGTATTGTGAAGTATCTTCTGGAAAAGGGGTAAGATCATTTCCAGGTTTTTTTAATTGCTACTTTGAGAGGGTTTTCACAAGCGTAATCTTCCAATAACCAATTGGATGCAGCAGACTAGATTTTGGAGAAATTCATTGTTATTTGCATAATGCTTTAATATTAAAGTTAGTTGCAAACGATCTCTCATTACAGAGGGCTTATTTATTATTTTTCCCATTTTAGTAATAGGGAAGTAGAAGCACCTAACAGGTAATTTCCCCAGGTCTGACATTTTTGTTGTCTCAGCTGTAGACTTTTCAATTTGATGCAGAGTACCTGCAAATCCAATCTGCTGGCAATGCACTTAGCTCGCATCCAGTATGTCTCAAATAGTGCACCCTCAGAACTTAACTCTCAAAATTAAATTGAGTGAATTTTGGAAAATCTGGCTAAAGTGACTTGCCTGAAATCATCAAGGTAATCTTAGACTTCCCTGTTTCACATGGCAAGGCCTTTTCATGCAATTGTTTTAAGGGTATAAGCCATACAGAATCACTTTCCTCTACAGCTCAGCAGGCTGAGGCAGCAGGATTTACACTGGAAGTGCATGCAGCTAGTTACCTGTTCCCCGCTTTAGAAGTGCTTCAGCCGTTTGCACCCTACAGACACACTTGTGAAAAAATCTTAATAGCTTAAAAATGAAAGCAATTTAAGAAAAATTCAGTCATACTTGTGTAATAGTGTAATCTGTTCTCTTTTATAATCAGACTGTTATAGTCCTGCAGTCATTCAGATAAACGCTTAAATGAACATTTTTCAAAAACAATGATATTGACATTAGCTATATTCTCTCCCTATAACCAGAATTCATTTTAATGTTAATTTCTGAGTGTTAGCGGCTTTAGTCTTAGCTCCAATTCTCGCAGAGACTCAACAGCATATGGAAGTTTATGCACCCTGGCAATTTCACTGTCATTCATGGTGACAACATAAAGTTGTGTAAACTTGTATATTCGAGTCTTCTAAAGAAGGATACAAGAGTTGTCTGGCAAATTAATCTCCACTGAGTTCATCAAACCTTACTAGATTGCATTGGAATCACAATGTAGTAATTAAGTTTAAAAATAGCGTTAATTGAGATTTTAAATTGACAAAAATCAGAAAATGGAGAGGAAAGTTATCAGTACAGTGTTTCGCTTTGCATCTTTCAACAGTGTAGACTTTCAGACATTTTCTGTTTGCTATAGGAATCTAAATTCTTTTTTCAGTATGGTCTTTTCAGTCCAGTATTACAAATCCATACCAAATACAAAACAACATTTATCTAAAGCTATAGAAAATGCTGCAGTTTAAACAAATTGGTGGTATCTACTTTTTATCTTGTTCTAGAAAGACTCAGAAATAAATTAAATTTGGACTAAAGGCAAATTCACTGATGTTTGACCAGGAGCGAACGCTCAAGAATTTTTAAATCTATATGGTGTTTTCCCTGTTACCTTTGACCAGTTTGCTTCTAATAGAATGAAGTTAGCTGAAAGGATTCAGGGACAGACGGAGAGGACCAGTACAGGCATGGGGCAAGGTGAGGGGAAGAGGGAGAAAGTGGAATAACTGGAACCACTTATTTTAATGAGGAGAAATATAGCAGAATGACAACTGCATGCAAATAAATCACGGTAGCTAAGCACCTGAAAGGTGACAAAGATTAAAAAAGCACTGGTAGGTTTGTCGGATTTCTGCTATAAGATCTTACCAAAGTTTGGACTTTGAAAAAGATTAAAAATGTAAGCAAGAAAAGATGAGCAGATGAATTCATTCTTTGGATATAGTGTTAAACATAAACCATTTGACAGGAAGAGCAGAAATGCTATCCCTGGCAGCAGGTTATTTCACCATGTTTCTTTCACCTCACTCCATTTCTTATGGGAAGACATCAGGCCTCAGTCCCTAGGGTAAATGGAACAGTGACCCTAATTCACTTCAGGACTTCTAGGCAGTCCTGGGTACAACAGAAGGTACTTCATTGCACTCGAGTATTGGGGAAATCCCCTGTTGAGCTTTTGGTCTCTTCTGAACCATGCATGGCCCATGTCAGAGACGGCAGACCTAGGTACGGTCATGGACTATGGTTTGGTCAAAGACATAGGGGAACCATGTCTTTCTAGTCTTGTATTACCTGTAGAAGATACTAGTGGCTCTTGCTTCCCAAGCTTTGCTTTTGCATGCCGTGAACCCAAAAGTTCCCAAGGCTTCCCCTTGCTAAAAAGTTGATAATGCTTTCTCCCTGAACTTCAGCTGAAGGCAGCGTACTGCAGATGACACCATGACTAACCCTTACAGAGCATGCAATACATGAAAACACTAGCCTGGGAGTAGAAACAAATCTAGCCTAATTTTGTGGCATAGTACCTTAAAAAAATTCAAATCCTCAGATTTTCTGTGATCTTTTTCTTAAATCGTCTCTATTTTAGGCCCCAATCCAATCCCTTTTTAAAATTAGATAGCGGGCAATTTTGCCATGAGTTTTAGAGAAAGGAGCACCTGTTCTTGGCCCACCACCTTTCTTTTTTGGATTCCTTAATCTGCCTTTTGCTGTTACCTGCTTCATCTCATCCCACCTGTTACTATTTGTGTCTACAACTTAAGCTCCTCTTCCACTTCTCAGATCCCATCTTTCCTCATCAAAAGCAACTGCTCTTATTGCAGTGTGACCCCCTAGAGCAGATGAGTGACAGGAAAGTAGAGCCCTACCATTTCATGAAAGGCACTCCTGTAGGGCCGTTTCCTCCTCATTTGAATGGCATACTGGGAAAAAAAGAGGCAGTAAAACGAAGCCAAGAACAGGAAGCCAATTGTTGATCTCGGTGGACCTTAAGGCAACTGAGCCAGCTCAGAAAAGAAGGTAAATGACAATAGTGTGGGAAGTAAGTAGCAATCTACTTTATCCCCTCTTCTTGTTCTCCTGAAGATTCAGAACCTTGATACTGAGGAAGAGAAGATAGTTGTAGAAGCCGAAATGCCACATTTATTCTAAATGAAACTTGAGCACAAACACTAGCAGTGTTTTAGAGAAGGACTAAGTTCTTTCGAAGCCTGTTTTTCTCTGTCCCTGTGAAAACCTCCGGCAGAGGACCACCCCGTGCGCTCAGAGAGGGACAGAGTAATGTGTAAGATCACCACTGGTGCAAGCTGCTAGCACTAATATTCCATGACAAGCTGTATCAGATACTAGAACAGTTTCAAAGTAGTAGTAGTAGCAGTATGAAAACACTCATTTGCATTGAATATGTCATTACAGTATGCAGTTAACTGATTGTACTTGGAGTTGCAGAAGTTAGTGTCTAGTAGCTGGCTTCATCGGTTCACATGCCATAACTCCTCTTGTTCTTTCGTAGGGCTGATGTAAATGCAATGGACAATTTCATGTGGACTCCTCTCCATCATGCATGCCACGCAGGACAACTAGATATTGCTGAACTGATAGTGAAGGCTGGAGGAGCAGTGGATGCACTTGCAACTGGCAATTCAACCCCGCTAATGAGAGCCATTGAGATCTGTAGATTGGATATAGTGCAGTTTTTAATCGATGCAGGTGCTAATGTCCAACTGACAAACAGAAATGGTAAATATCCATGTTTCATAAAGTGACTTCTTTAGTTATGTATATACATATTTTGTAAAATGAAAGTTTAAGTTCTTGGAGCACTTTGGAACACTTTGAGAAGCGTTCTGAATTTATGATTGCGATCAGGATGAAGAATTAAGTTCACTTAGCTTTCTACAGCACAGAATCACTATTCTAAATAGTGAACTTCCTTATTTTTTGTGCCTTTAGAAAATAAAGGAACAGTGATTAATTGCATTGCAGAATGAAAAACAAAATACCCCAAGATTGTGGCTGAAAAGATCCCTGACAAAGCTGTTGTACCTCACAATATGTATACAAAGTTATAAGCGGCTTTAATGAAAAAAAAATCTAGCAAGTTGTTAACCTTATTTGATGGAAAATTAGATTTATGTTGTGGCCAGTGTCCATTTTGCCACCCACTTAAATCACTTATTTTGTATGCATAGGCAGCATCAGTTAGAAATTTTTCTTTCTGCTTAGCATGTAAATATTATTCCTGAGAATGAAAGCGATTTAGTCAGAATTGCTATAGAAGTGTTACCTTCCTACAGCAATAGAGGGAGAGGTACATCATGAATCTACTTTTTTTTTTTTTTCCTTCTTTTTCTAACCTTTCATATGTGATGGTAATGGGGAATTTTCATTAGCTACAATCTGCAGACATGTCAGGGAGATGACATACCTTAGATTTGCCCTCAGCAGAATGAATTTAATTAAACAGGAATAGTGACCAGGCACTTCAGCCAGCTGGCATAAATTTGCATACAAAGAATTGATACAATCCTGCTCCCCCTTAATGGAAACTCAGTGTGTGTGTGGGGGAACACAGTGGCAGTCCTTTCCCCATACGCATTTTGCCTAGCACAGTGCTGTAATGGCAATCAGGGCCAGCCAGTGGACGGTTCCCCTCTGCAGGAGTTTATATATAGGCCTCAGTCCAAGCAGAAGGGGTGGAGTGAGAGGAGAGTCTTCAGGAACAGCATTTAGCTTTAAGATGCAGGCTGCCGTTAATAATTGTGGCCCCAGAGCTGATTCCAAGTAGTAGACTAAAAGCTGCATTCATGTCAGCCTGCCTAAATTACAATGGAAGATTAAAGTCTTGTTTAATAGGTGTTAAAAAGTTGCCTTAATCTTGAACTTTGCTTTAGGTTTTAAAAACAAAACAAAAAAAAGAGCTGAGCAACTCAGTCCTTCCCACTGATGCACTGAAGTGGGTGATTTTCAAAAGACCTTTTCTTTCATAGACCTGCTGAGAGTGACTCCTATGTCTGTGGCTGGCTCCTAAGCGGTTTGGACGGCCAGACCTTTTCCATCCAACATCATCTGTCTGCATAGCCGAAGAATTCAAGCCTTTTTCTGTGGTGGGGAAAACTCCACACAATGCATTATTTTTTTCTTTAATTTTTGAACACCATTTAGTATTCTTCCCAGTATTTTAAGAGTAGTTTAAATAATTAACATTTATCACATTTCAAGCTCTTGCTATAATGTATTAAACATTGCTACATAATGAGACTTTCCTTCCCAAAATGCACAGTAGCTGAAACACTGTAGAAGGGCTGTGTATTCTGCACATCTGTTACCATGTAAATTCTGTACACCTGATAGCAGTTTAATTTTGCAGCTACTTTACAGCCGTGAGGCCTCATCTCATGAGATGCAAGAGGGTTTTTCCTTATTTGACATTGATAGTGTTCAGCCCCATTTAAGTTTTGGGGCTTTCTTTTCACTTCTTGCCAGCCACAGAGCAAGCACTAGGAGAGGTAGATACATGCAATAACCTGGTCCAAATTCCTCATCTTGTAGTGTGCTTGCTGTTTTCTAGTGTTAAATTCTGTCAGCTCTCAACCTGCAGGACGAGTATATTAAGCTGCAAATACCCGGACATTAAAAGCAAAGCAGCCATTCCAAGAATGCCCACAGCGTATTGTTTCAAGGCTCGTTTCTGCAAGTGCTTGTTTCTGCGAGCAGTGCTGATGACTGCCCAGCCTCACACCAATGTCAGCCAGGCTCCTGGCACACTGAATGGTTAACGAAATAGAGCTGTAATTAAATTCACTTGACAGTAGTGTCATTATCCAGTTATAACTGCCAAGGTTTATTTTCGTGGCTTATACAGGTATTTATTTTTAAACTGCAGGAGAAAGTGTTGTTGATATTGCAAAAGCATTTGCAGATTCTAGAATAATTGATCTGCTTCAAAATAAACTGGATCATTTGCCAAAAGTACCAGAAAAAAAGGCAGCAGAGAAAGGAAAGAAAGGGAAGAAGATGGCCAAGCCAAAGTCACCTTCTAAACTGAAGCCTGTAGAGGTAGAAACTGTGAAAAAAGAGGTATGAGGGGTGGTGACAAGGGACTAATTACTGTATTTACTAATAGTTATTAGCATTTTTATTTATTTATTTTTCTTTCATTTACCTGCTATCCAAGTCTCCATAAAGCTGTAAAACACTTAAAGGTAGCATTTTCAGAAGCCAGTACCTTTCTTGTTCTTGGCAATCCTAAGACTTGTTCATCAGTTAAAAACAATGACTTAGTAATTATATGAATTTTGTGTCTTCCCTCCTCCCACTTAAGAATTTTCCTATACCACTGACAGGACACAGAAGAATCCTTCCTCTTCTTTTCCCTTTCCTCCTGAAGTTTATGATCAACCACCTATTATGTTGTAAGCAATGAACTACCAGTAGCTGTAACTTCTTAAAGGAAGTACCTATTTCTTCATAGGATAAGACCAACCTAAGGCCCTTTAAGTCAGTAGAAGGGTTTTTCTGTTTCTTCTGCTTGTTAAACTAATTGAGATAATATCAGGCTTGCTGACTTCTCATTTCCCAGTACCTCTCATATCCTTCCCGCCACCTCATTGTTGACCTGAGTCTTATTTCTCAAATCCTACACTGATGCTGTTTGGCTGTTCTACTTCTGGATGCATTTTCTGCATCCTCCTGGAGCCTTGAACACCCTACCATTTCTCTAGTTCCCATGCTAACATCAGCCTCAGTGGTTGCACTGTGGTTACATTACCGTGAATTAGGTCTTCCTGATTTACCAGCGCTAGTTGTTAATCAGATGCAGGATACTATTTAGAGAGAAAAAAGCTATGCAGACAAAATTGCAAAAACTGATTTTTCTTCCGTAATCCTAGCCTTGATGGTGTGGTAAATGTGTCATAGTATCCAAATGCTGGTTTCTCCCTTTTGAAGGGTCTTTGAATTCATCAGGGGTTCGTAGGCATTTTCATAGATTGAGATGGGAGGCGGGGAGGGGAAATGACCTTATGTGCTTATTTATCCATCACCCTGCACAAGATAGGATCTGTTAGGTGATTGTCTGGCAAGTCTTAAAGAGCAGATAATGTTTTATATGTATATTGTCCAAGAAGGAGAGCCACCTCTGCTTTTTAAAATGCTTTTCTCACAATTTCTGATAAATATTTATTAACTTGTAAAAGAATAAGCAGATTCTATTCAGAAAATCAATAGTCATCTTACCATCTCTTTAGAAAGCTGTGTACTAGAGGATGTAAGATGTCTGCCTTGTTTCTGAGCGCTACATATTTGTATAACTGATACCTCCTCCTGTTCCAGCCTTCACAGGAGTCTCTGCCAGTTGTGAAAAAATCCATTTTTGAAGAGGAGACACAATCCTTTAAGGACAGTGTTATTTATCTGCATTCTTTGATAGCCAGTGGTGCTACTAAGAAAGTTGACATCACGTTCAAACCCAGAAAAGTATGTACAGTAGCAAAACATAAGCACTGTTTCATGTTAATTTAAAGGTAGATAGTAGATCACGTTCTCTGCGGGTCAATGTGTGGAGTTTGGCTAAAGTTAATTAAATGAAGCTGGAACAATAGACAAACAGAGAATTTGGCCCAGTGTTAAAGTGTATTAGCCCAGCATCCAGCTTCTCACCACATGCGAGTGTGTAGTTTAAAATAATTTAGAAGTTTCTGAACAGCTGGTTATAAGAGTCGACAGCCCAATAAAATTGGGGGGGGGGGGCGAAGGGGAAAGAAAAAGAGAACAGCTTTACAGTTTTACTGAACTGTGCACCCTGCTGCAAATTCTTAATTCCAGTAAATTTATTCTAGATTGTTTCCTTTCTTCTCTAGCTACTGAGAGGCAGAAACATAGGAGCATCTTCTTTCTGAACTTCTTGACAAGTGGAGCTGGTTCCTACCATGATTCAGTCCAGGACAGGAGTTCTTTCTATTTTCTAGCTAGTTACAATTTTTTGTTAATTTTGTTTTCCTTTGTGCATGATAATCTACAAGCACAAAACGTTGCTGAAGATCAAAAACCAAAGCATACTGATGAAATGACCTCACAATTTAACTAGCTAATAGATGATGTGACATAGGCTAGAGAGATCACCACAGAACAACAGTAAACTAAAATGTTCCTATGTATAAATAACATAGGTTTTATTTATGTGTGTGTGTGTATATAAATACATATATATATGTATTTATATATAATTGAAATCAAGCTCTTAACAGGATTTGAAATAGGATTAAAGTAAAATAGATCCACAGTAAAGTACAAATGCAACTACATTTTCATTTTTTACATTCATACAGTGCACTAAGAATTTACTGTTCTGAAATAGATGTTCACAGCTGTGATGTATACTAAATATATACTCCCAGCACTGAAAGTCTAGGAAGTAGAATTCTCGTATCAGGGACTCATTAATTATTTTTCTCACATAACTGAGAAAAATAAACAGAAGATCACAGAGAAGTACTTCTGAGGAAAAAAAAAAAAGAAGAAAAAAATGCCATTGATGACCGGGAAGTTTTGTTTGGGGTTTGTTTACCATTTCCCTAACTCCTACTTGTGTTAGTTTCTGCTGTAGTCTTAGGGGACCAAGCCTACACTGCCAGTGACTCTACAGTTAATTACTAATTAATGACTCTGGGGATCTTGGGCCTGATTGAACAGTCATTCTTAGCTATCAGCTTTGGGTCTTCTTTCCCACTTAGTCCTGAACTGAGCTGATCAGAAGCCACAACAAGACAACGCACTGTATGTATGCAAATTGTTGTGTTATCATCTGCTAGGAAGATGCATGAGTTTTCTTCTATATCTCAGGCTAGGAAGAATTGCTGGAATATGGCTGTACATGACTAATGTTTAGTTCTGAGTTAATTAGAATATCTTTATTTTCTAGATTTGGACTCCTGAAGACACAACAGAGGAGCCAATAAGAAAGCGAGAATTGCTCCATGAGCGTTTGGCTTTTGATGAGGACTCTGAAGACTTCATGACACCCTTTAAGAGGAATTTTATGGAAAAAGCACGCCAGCTAGAAGAAGCTACTTCAACACATGCTTCGGGGGTACAAAGATCAAAAAGAGCTACTCCTTTATAAGAAAGGAATCATGCAGCCCTTAGTAAAGGCATTTCAATTATGATATAAAATTGTAGCGGGCTTTTCCTCTGTGAATTATGTTACTAAACACAGTCTTTTGGTAAGGCCTTAGTCCTGAAAAAGATTTATCCTCTTGAGATTCTGAAATCTTGGTGCTGGCTCAGTGTACTTTATGGAATGCCTACTGCTGTGGCACAGAAATCTTTTTTCTCCGTAAAGCTACAGCTTTATGAGGCTATTTTTGGTCCTAAGATAAGACTCCTCCCTAGAAGATGCGTTATCCTCACCCTTTCTGCCAAAAGGGTATTAAAATATAAAAATATGAACACACTATTTCAGAAATCCAGTAAGACACAGGTGTTCTTGATTATCCGCACCAGAGGCGAGAGAAGAATAAGGTCTTATTACTACCAGGACTACTGATGTCCAGTGACCTGTTTTCATATTCTCATACGCTTGCAAGAATGCACAAACCTTTCTCCTCATTCACTACTGGTGCATTCCTTGACTGCACTGTTGAAGCATAATGATTGCGCAGAACCTCTTGAAAAACACTCACACATTCTCTGAATGTCCATTCATGCAGTCAGAGCTACATCCACAGCTAATCCAAATCAATGCTTGCCCTCTGAAAGGAATGAAGTCAATGGATGTCGTTCCTGACTATAAAAGGAGATCTTTAGGGGAAGGCATTTGTGGTCTTGGGAAGTGAACCGAGCAGCCTGCCTTAATTTGACAGGAAGAAAAGGAACCAGAAGTTCACTGTAGGAAGTATGAAACGTTCCTCTAGAATTCCACTGAGTCTACAAAACAGCTGACAACACAGAAGTGAGCTTGACATAGAGCTTCAAAAAACGAATAACAAGTAACAAGCTTTGGGCAGACAGAAGACTGAAAATACTGGGAATGTTTAGCTTAGAGGAAACAAGTGGGAAGGAATGCCATAAGCAATATTTAAAGAAGCAAAGAACGTAGAGATGTGAATTTAACATTCAATCTATCCTTTCTTAGGATAGGAGAACTTCACATTATTGAAGAACCGGGAAAGTAATGCAAAAAGATATTAAATAATATTATGCAATGCACAAGTAGCCTGTGGAACTCTGCCCGATTATCCTTGGAAACTTTTTTTTAAAAAAAAGAAAAAAGATATTTACGTAGATTGTGAGAAGAATCTAGTTAGCTCATGCAGAAGGGATAAAATCCCTTGTGTTTCAGGACTCCAGCTAATTACTACTTGCACACGATAGAAGTAGTTTTCTAGCAGTACAGTTCACTGATTGATGTTTTGTGTCCCTTAGAGAAAAGGCACCAGCATAGACAAATACTGCAAGTTAAGTCAGTGTCCTATATGATAATACATGCTCTTTAAATTTATTTTATGCTATAAGATTAACAACTGTCTGGTTCACGAGTACAACTACCTCTGAAAATTTGTTTTCAAGTTATTATCTTTTTTTTTTTTTAATTGAAAGTCAAAGTCTGCATAATCTGAACTTCAAGCTGAATTTTTTTTCCCCTCTGGTTTATCACCACTCATAGTAAGGATTGTGCAGGCCAAGTGTTGCCATCGTTGATGTGCGACACAGCATTTCCATTTCTGGATTTTCCTAGGCATAAGAGCAGAAGTGCTCTTGATGGAGGTGTCTTGGGGAAAGACTGCCCCCTTCACTTTCTTAAAGAAGGTGTCTGCATGACACTGCAAGCAACTTTAAAGGCCCAATGACTTTAAGTCAAGCTGCACGTAGAAGAATACCTGCTAAATACTGCATCTATACAAACGTGGAGTGGAGTGGATATGTCCAGTAAGATACTATTTGTATTTCCAACTACCATTACTGAACATACTATTTGGAAGACCGTGGTTGTGTATCTTTATTAGGATGTTTTTCTCAAAGTAAACACCTTGTTGTATTTTTAACATTTTAATGTTCCAGTATAAAGACAGACTTTAAAGGCAAATAGGATACCATTTCAATATATTAGCTGTCTTAGTATTAACATCCGTGTAGTATCTTCACCTGTTAGTGTCATACTTCTGCTTGGCTGCAGATGATTGTAAATAACAAAAAGTTTTATTTACAACTGTTTCTTTCTCATATACATTCTGCTCCTCTTCTATGACTAGCTTTAACACTGTCTTTGAAAGTAGGAGACATGGGGTCAATTTGCTAAACAACAGCCATTAAAAGAAGTCAAGCTGCACAGTCAGAGAGTCTTGACTCATTTTGTAAGCAAAACTGTTTCAGGCAGAGCCATGTTGTGGAGATTAACCAGGAGAATTCTCTACCGTGAGAGCCAGCTGCTCAGTTCTCCCCTGTGCAAGTACTGAGTAAGTGCTCCACACGTGGGTAAGTAGTGTTGTGTTAAAGGAAGGACCATTTCATGCTGACCATGTTCCTCATGGTAGCTGTAAGGAAAAGAAGTTGAATGCAAAAGGAACAAGCTAATCCTGCCAGCAGAAGGGCCTGCCTCACATCAGCTTGGATCAGTAGGAGTAGGATTAATCTTGTTGGCAAGTTGCCTTTGAAAAGGCTATTGGGAAAGGAGAGCGTGGGGAAAACTATTTTCTGTTCCCCTGGGAAATGCTTATGAACATCATCTTTGTGCCTTTTCATCTTGGCCAGAGCAAGTCACAAACTCCCACATAGCCTTCATATGTCCCACAAAGAAAAGGGGAGGAGAAAAAAGTTGTCCCTCAGTTGTGTCCAAACAGCTGAATAGAGGAGAGCAGGGAGTGAAAAAGAGTGCTCCCTGGACCTGCGTTATCCTTCTACATAGCAGGCTGCCCAAGGCGGAGTTGTCCCATGGGCTACTACCCCATCTTTGAACAACATCTATGGGGATGGAACCAAAGCAGATAAGATGGTTCCAGGTTTGGGAAGCAATTTGGGGGGCTCTCCTTGTTGTGTTAGGTCCTATATCAAGAACAGCCCACACATGTGAATTTAGAGATGCCTAAAGGCCTACATCTTCAGTGTGCCATTCAGAAGGTAGTGAGGTCCAGAAAACAAACAAACAAAAAAAAAAACCAGCCCAAGACAGACTGCTATTTGAGGAAGAGTGAGAGAGTCAGTGTCCATCTCTTCCATTTTTCTCAGGCACATTACAGTGTTATGTCAGGTATGTGATATGTCAGATATTTTTGATAAATTATGATCGATTCCATCATCAAAATGGAATGGTACTGGAATTGTTAGGAGGAAAAAAGGCCCTGCAAGGCAAAAAAACCCAACCAAACAAAAAGCAAAGCCAAATTTACACTGGAATATTCCTCTGTATACAGAGGAACACAGCCCTAAGATGGTAGCTGAATCACACTCAGGTGAACAGTGTGCCAGGGAAGATATCACAAGTGCAGTCATGAGCCTGATTCAGTCCTCAAGCCACCAGATTTAAGCAGTGATGGGAAGTGTCTTCATAAAACAAACAAACAAAAAAAACCTCTTCACATGGCCACTGTCATCCCCACATATCTTCATGGAGAATTCGTGCTCACCAGCACTAGAGAAGTAGAATGAACTTTGAAGTTGGTTTTTATAGTGCCTTCCCCAGGAGGGGAGCAGCTATGCTTGAAGTTATCCAGCTTCCCAAACATCAAAGTGATAAACCCAGACATTCTGGTGGACCTTGGTGTGCCAATTTACACCTCACAAGCTGCAGCATGGAATAGTGTCATTAGGTGCCAACTTTGACAACTGACATGAGCTACTTACATGCTTAAAGACCAATTATAAGCTAAGCACTTAGGAATTCATGCAAGCCTTAAAGAACCGAAAGAAAACATCACATGGCCTTTATACACTTAAAGCAAGGCACATATGTTATGTCAGTGTGGCATGTTATGTCAGTGTGGCATGTTATGTCAGTGTGGCATGTTATGTCAGTGTGGCATACAGTAAGAAATAGTGCGCTTGTTTTGCCTTCAGTATTAGTCGGTGGTGTTAAACCCTTTAGGGTTCTAGCTTCTTAAATTCATATGTGAGAAAGGGCAGAAGATGTACACAGGTAAAGCTATATGTTCATTTATGAAGAAATCAATAAAGTGTTTATTACTAGAAGGAAGCATCCCAGTTAAAGCAGAATAACAGTATGACTTCCTCGGGGGGTTCTTAGTGCTAATCTCAGCACCCTCAGCATACGGCTGGCTTTCTGCAGCAATGCCAAGTGACAGAAGAGGTGAGATGAAGTATCACTGCATGTGACACGAGGTTAGCAGCTCAGTCATGTGCTGTTGTGAAGACAGCTGGTATTGTGCAAGAGAAAAAAACCATATGCTTTATTCAGCAACTGTACTTCAGTGATTTACAACTATTTTAGGCCCTCAATAACATAGGGCTTTTCTGTCTAAGGCACTGCTTGCCTTATGTCACTTCACAACAATTGAGCCTGGCAGGGCTAGAGCTGTCTACTGTCCCTCTTGAAGGGGAGCTGCTGCTTGATTCCTCATTTAGCAAGAGTTGTGCAAAAATCTTTCTTCAGCAGTTCAAATTTATATATATTATAGAGGACTCCCTGACTCATGAAGTTCTAAGCCCATGAAACTTTTTAGGCTAGTTTAATGCTTTTTGCATATGTTGAAGGGTTATATTACTATTCAGGGCTTTCAAAGTCTGTCTCAGCATTAGGATCTTACCAACTGAGTGACCTCACTTCTAACTGCTGAGGATATGAACAAGACCGATGCATGATGGTTCATAAGATTTCAAGGCTACAGAAATTCTGTCCTTGTTCAAGCAGTCTCCCAAATTTCCAAGTCTCTGCGAAAGCAGGGAGTCCCAAGGCCAATACAACTTCAGCTGCATTTTGCTCATGCCACCTGCTTTGGAGGTGGTTCAGTTACATGGTAGCCTAAAGTAGCTCCAATGGAGAATTTTAGAAATAAGGTAGGGAAGATGAATGAGTGTTGAGTAGCCAGTTTCTTTTCCAAAGTGACTTCTGCTTACACCAGGCAATTTGTTGATTTATCAGGGTGAATAATAGTCATCACCAAAAAGAACACTGTGTGCAAAGTACTTCGCATCAAATAAATGCTGTGCTAAGAACCCTACCACTAAATTGCAGATCACAACATAATGCCCCTTAATTCCTCCTGCCAGCAGGATTTCCTATGGACTGACTAAGAATTAAAGTTGACAGGGCCCTTCATTCTGAAGCACTGAAACATTTGCCTTGCTTTGCAAGAGGTGCATGGGGATCCCTGCAGCCTTTACTTCAGGTCCAAAAATTGTCTGGCAATAGCAGTTAAGAGATCAGATAACTGGATTATTGTAGCTGTCTACTGAGCTGTATGACTAACAGAACTCTGCACTTAGTATGTGGGTACTATGAAAGACATACAGTGATTAACAGTTGCCATCTAAATTATGAAGCCATCCTCTTACAGAGCACGATCAAATGGAAAGGTGGAATAACTGTATTGCTGATAGAACAAGTGAGCTTAAAGACTTTGCTCAAAACTAACTATTCTCTATCACCCTACTGAAAAGGACGACCATGTTTTGGATCTTCCTTGCTTTGCTAGAAGTATAGATAATCTCACTGAAAGCTTTGTCACAGATGCAATTGGTCTGCATATCCAACAAAATGACTTTTGGGAAGGTGCTGAGAGAAGAAAGAAAACAAAACATGAATCCCCTCCCCACAGAGGCACATACTTAAAATACAGGCAACATTTCTGCCAGCCTGCCGTGACAAGAAGGGCAGGAAAACAATAAGTTCAGCAAGAGCATTTATTTTGAAATTGTTTAAACATAAGTACTGTGCTTTAGCCCTACTGTCCTCAGTAACCAGGTCTAGCCAAGGATAGTGATATCAGAAGAGTTTTGATTCAGTCTAGTCTTAAATCTACATGGACTTGAGAGACTTGGGACAGTACAACTCAGCACAGCCATAAGCTTCTAGGGTCTGTTTAACCACTACTCAGAGTGGGGTTCATTCAGTGCTGATGAAATATCTCTAGTTGTCAAACTCAGGAGCTGCATGTAACCGCTCAAGTTGAACGGTAAAGCCTGACAGTGCCCAAAAATCCCTCTTAGAAAGCCTATATGGGAAGGGACACCATAATTTGGACACAATAAAGAACAGTAAATTCAAGATAGGATCTGCAAAAAAGGGAAAAATAAATATTATTCCTATTATAAGTCTCAATACATGGGCACATGCACACCATTTCAACATTTTCTTTCCAAAATGGCAAGCTCAGCTAACATGTATGAGCATAGCAATGAACATTTTCCCCCCTACACCCATTGTAAATCGTCAGTTTTTATTTTGCCTTCAAAAGGTGACATTTGGCTTTAGGTCTCCTTTTGCCTGCAACATAATTAGATTCACTCATGCATCTGCCTAACATTATTCACTATGAAGTGATTATTTCTCCTCCCAGACCTGCTTTTCAAAGGAAAGCGGTTGCTTGTGTTTCATAGTCTCTGCAAGACAACTTATTCTTCTGCTAGGATGGTCCCCGAGATCAAGCAAGAACCAGGACTGCCACATGATTAAAAAAGTGGCAGGAAAGCCAGCATCTATCAACATAGGAAATGGCCTATATTTAGAAGCATGCTTGCCTTACGACAGCTTTAAAAGACTACTTACTCCTTAAAGTTGTGAGGGCCCAATATTTGCCTTTCTCATATCTTCTCCTCAACTTGCTGGTCAGCCTACAGTGTCCACATTCAATAAACTGAGCACACCTTCAGTTTTCCTGCCTGGGAGTGATCTTCTCAATTATTTATCTTGCCTTTCCCTTGCAAGGACCCTAACAACATACACTACTGCTTCAGTAGTCACTTGAGAGTTACTTGCACTTCCCCAGCGGACAATGCCATTATTAGTAGACCTCAGGAAACCTGGACATTGACCAAGAGAAATCCAAATCAATGACTCCTAGTTTACAAGGCTAAGTAATAGGTAGGATGAGGAAGCTGCTCAGATGGATAAAGAATCTGGGAAAGACATTAAGAACGCTTTTCCATTTCAGGGAGCTTGAGGTCATTGTGACAGGCAGATACTAGAAGAACAAGCTGAGGGGTTTGGTTGGAGTAGAGAAGTACCTTTCAATGCTGTCATCCTCAAGTACATAGAGGAGTATGGTTCAGAGGCTCCCTCATTGTACACCACAAGGAGGCTAGGAGAGTCTGCTGCATGAAATGGTGATGCAACAGAAAGCTTTCAGGGATGAGAAAGCAAGCGTCACGAAGAGAGCCGGGGGTAAAGTTTCAGGGCTCAAAATTACTCAGTAGCCTTCCTTCTGCTGATGGCAAAGAGCTGGGAGCAATATGCGCATGGGAGGGGAAATCCCTGCTAACGGACTAGAAAAGCTGAACTATGATTTGATGGGCTATGTTAAAGAATATCAAGATACTCAGAAAACATACCAAGAATAAGGAAAACTCTCAGGTGGGAGTTCAAACAGATGGCAGCTGTGATTTTCAGTCTCCTGAAACAGGGGTAGCACAAGTCAAATATATAAATATTCAAATTGGAAAACCAATGCAGAGAAGCTAAGTGGACAGAGGACAAGAACACCAAGAAGAAAAGGAAAAACAGACTTTACATATCCGGATAGGCTAAGGCCAGATGAGTTGTGTAACACTTCTGCCTCACAGCCAGGCTGTAATCCAGCTTTAATTTTGCTATTTGCCTTTAAAACTCAGTTACCTCTGAAGCTTTCAAGGATTCTTTCAATAGCAGCTAACTTGAGGTACTAGTATTTGTCTGACACCCAAATGAAGTCATTCACTTGTCACTCCATCCCATAACATTGTTATGGGATTATAGTACCCATATATGGGTAATTATAGTCCTCATCCCCCAATTTCCAATAAGACATTTTGCACTATTCCAAGATCAATTCCAGAACACATGAAATTAGTTAGGGCTTGCCTCCACTATCACTGTGGAGATATTTACATCATCATGTTTTTCTTCTAAATCATGTATATGGTAAAGAAAACAGCTTTGGGATGATGACATTAATACAGCTTCAATAATAACCAGGTATAAGATACATTTGACAATATGTTAAATAATCTGTGGACAGATATGAGAGGACAAGCTTCCTACATACAGGACAGGCATTTTTCATATTTCTAATCTACCCTACCATCTCATGACATACATGCTTCAGAACCAAGATGCAAGCATGTGTTTTCTCACTGCTTCCCATTCATAATACAGACATCATTCACAACAGGTTTATTTTTTAGAACCTGTTTGCAACACCAGTATTGTTCTAGTCACAGCACTCTATTCCCTTATACTAAGGCAAAGCAGGAGACAAAGTTGAATTCCCGAGCTTGTGTAAACACAGTAGAGGTAAACATATTTATGGCCTAGGACCTTTGAACAGCTGCTAAACAGGCCAGCTTACAACGTGTTTGAGATTAAGCCACCAGGGAACTTAATTTAGCCCCACTATTGCTACAACT